CATCACATTGTGTATGTTTTTGCGTGAACAGAGATTGGGATTTGTTTTTTTTTTCTTTTGAAACACAGCACTGTCTGCTTTTTTTTGGCTTGATAAGGGGGCGGGAAGGTACACCAAATGATAAGAAATCATTGCGTTATTTGATTTTATCAGCTCCCAGTTCATTTCCTTCTTTATGTCTTTCTCTTAGCTTTTTGATTTTCACTGAAAAGTGTAGGATTTTTTGCTTGTGTATACAGGAAGCCAGCACTGTTGTGGGGGAAAACTGGTTGAGGCGAGATTAAACATAGCTTTGAGGTTTTAAGAGTCTCAAACGATACCAGGAATTCGTTAGACGTTCTATTCTCTTCTTGCGAGCTGTTCTTTTTCTAGAGTTAGTTCATCTTATTTTTCGAAGTACCTGCCATCCAGCAGATGTTCTTTGTTTTGGTTCATTTCTTTGCAGTTACTCAAAGTATGAAATATTGGGAAAACATAAATATCATATGCTGTGGTGAAATATTAGGAAGTACAGTGTTTTCATCTGTTGGCTGCAAACGTAGACCGAACTCAGCATTTGGCTAGGGCTGGGAATCTTCAGTATGCCGTGCTTTTGATAAGCATGTGTCCAATCAGTTAAGACTAGATTAATGAGAAGATGAAGGAGAAGACGCAAGGAAGAGAGAGAAGGACTGGTTCTTAAGAGGGAGAAAATGCCAAATAAGAAGCTTAAGGCTTGCGATTCCGTTTCGGGCAGTTGTTCGCGCCAGTAACAAGCCCCCATGGAAATACATGAACGAATCTTAAAAAGATTCGTTGTACTGAAAGAGTTGGATCGGCGACTTCTAGCGCGAAAGCGGCGACACGTGCTACTTTGAGAGCAGCGCAGTTTGTATGATATGTAATTGGTACTGAGGTATTTTTATCTTCTGGTTAACCGAATATACTCGTACCGTTTTATATCTCACAGAGATTACTTTTTTGTCTGCTGACTTAACAAAACATTTCAAAATTTAAAAAAAAAGTGGCCAGACTGAAATAAGAATATGCTTAACGTATTATGACACTTCGGGTTGAGTTTTGTCTTTTTTTTTTTCGAAAATTGACAACTAACAATTGAGTATCATCCAGTTTTTCTGGTATTTTAAATTTTTAGTCATGGACCAAAACGAAGAAGAAATGTCCGTCCCTAGCAATAATTCCGTTTGTGACAAAGAATCGCGACCATTCAACGAGGAAGAGGAGGATGCGGAAGCAGCGAGCAAGAAAACACTTTCAGCTTCTATCAGCGATGAAGACGCTGCACTGGAAACCAAAATTATTCGCATTGTCATTTCGGTGATGCTCGTTATCACGGGCTCCGTCAACACACTTGCTGCTAAGTCTGATTTTCTTTCTGTTATTTCAAAATTTTATTTTCAAACGAACATATTTTTCAAGCTAAAATTTTGGGGATCGTAGTTTTTGTTATGATTACCTTTGTTATATTGTTATTTTTATTCTATTATTTGCCTTTTTGCTTATGCACCATTTATTTTTTTTATTTTTCTACAAAATTTCAACTCAATCATCTTATCGCGATATGGAATTGGCAGCGAACTAGCGGTGCCGAGGCACGGCGAAGTATAAACCATGACAGCTCCAAACGCATTGGGACGACACTGTGCCGCTTTTTTCCG